TTGCTTCTGGTTTTCATCAGGCAGAGAGAAGACGGAGAGAAAAAGAAAAAAATATCAAGTTTAATTGTGATTTTTTTTTTAATTTTTTATTGTGTTAGTGGCGGAACCCATATGCAGCATTGGAATGTTTCAGAAAAGACTCATACGTGGGGGGGAGACTCACATTTCCCTAAGAGAAATCATTATGGATTGGGAGCCGTGACCTTCAATCTAGAATAACGACCCGGATTCTCTGCTCCTTTTTTATCATACATTTCTATTTTCATCTTATTTGTGTGGTCACGATTAAGCTACGTCTTTTTATCTTTTTATTTCTATAAAAAAATTAATATAAAATGTTGACATGACTTAACCGTGATCACACAAACAAAGGTAGAATGGAAGTGTATGGGAAAAAACCAGCAGAGAATCCAGATCCCTAGAATAATGGTAAGTTTAGAAATATGAGTCCTTGACTTCTTGAAGATGATCATTGCACTTGGTCAATCCCACATAGGGTCACGGCCATAATGATAACACTAACAGTGTTAAATAATGGAGAATGTTTCCCTCCACAAAGTATCTTTGTTAGGTTCATTGAACTAAGCCTAGAATTTTTGCAAAGTTTCTTCTTTTTCAAGAATTTTTGCAAGGTTTTTTCTTGTAAAAACTCAGCTTCTCTGGTTCACAACTTGAGCTTTATTTCGCAGAGTGCATATATGGGGTTCTCGAGTATTATTATTAGTATCTGGCCAATTCTCATGCAACTGTTTCTTCTGATGGTTACTTCATCCTCCTTACATCTAGGAGGGAATGAGACGGATAGAAAGTCCTTGCTTGCATTTAAAGTTGAAATCGTGAATGATCCACTAGGCATTCTGAGCTCCTGGAATGAATCCCTCCACTTTTGTCAGTGGCAAGGCATTGCTTGTGGCCACAGACACCAGAGAGTCATCGTGCTGAACCTCCAATCAAGCCGGCTGAACGGCCAGCTATCTCCCCACATTGGAAACTTGAGCTTTCTCAGAACTTTAAACCTCCAAAACAACAACTTCAACAACACCATCCCTCAAGAAATTGGTCGTTTGTTCCGTCTACAACAACTACGCCTTGAAAACAACTCCTTCAGTGGTGATATTCCATTCAACATGTCACGTTGCTCTAACCTCCAAATACTTCGGATAGCTGAAAACCATCTTATGGGCAAAATTCCAACTGAAATTGGTTCCTTGTCCAAGCTTCAGGTACTTTTTTTAAGATACAACAATTTAAGCGGGGAAATCCCACCTTCTTTCGGAAATCTTTCTTCTCTCCAGGTGTTAGATGTGTCAGAAAATAATCTGCGTGGAGGTATTCCGAATAGCCTTGGCCAGTTGAAAAGATTAAAATTTCTTTCAGTGGGTCAAAATTATTTAAATGGTACCATCCCTCCCCCGATTTACAACCTCTCATCAATTACAGTCATTTCTGTGCATCTAAACGAACTGCATGGAACTCTTCCTCCTGGGTTGGGCCACACTATATTTCCAAACCTCCAAGAATTTTATTTCTGGTCCAACCAATTCAGTGGACCAATACCAAATTCAATCTCCAATGCCTCAAACCTCTTACTTTTTGCAATCTTATCCAATGAGTTTACTGGAAAAGTGCCTAGTCTAGCACGCCTATCAAATTTGTATTTGTTAACACTTGCCAATAACAATCTTGGAAATGATGAGGAAGGTGACTTGGATTTCATCTCTTCTCTAGTTAATTGCACCAAATTAACACAGTTTGATTTTAATGACAATAATTTTGGAGGAGTGCTACCTGAATCCATCAGCAATCTCTCAACAGAGCTCAATCAAATGGTATTTGGTCGTAACCGGATACGCGGAAGAATTCCCATTGGGATCGGAAATCTAATCAACTTAGAGGTAGTAGCCTCTGAGGGAAACCTACTGATAGGCACAATACCAAGTTCTATTGGTAAACTAAAAAGGTTGGACGCTCTGGATCTGAAGGAGAATAAACTATCAGGTACCATCCCATCTTCTATTGGAAATCTAACTTCATTGACCAAGTTGATTCTCAAGTCAAACAAGTTAGAAGGCAACATACCGGAAAGTCTCGGAGAATGCAGGAATCTGCTACTTTTACTTCTTTCCCAAAATAATCTTCGCGGTCAAATTCCTAAACAAGTTATTGGTTTATCATCCATGTCACAAATTTTGGATTTATCCAGCAACAAGCTTACTGGATCCATACCAATGGAGGTAAGCAACATGATGCATCTAGATTTCTTGGATGTTCTTGCAATCGGTTATCTGGTGAGATTCCACAAAGCTTAGGGAGTTGTACAGGTTTGACAACTCTAAATCTCAGTGAAAACTCATTGCAGGGGACCATTCCTGAATCCTTGAGCTCTTTGAGAGGGATTGAGAATTTCGACCTCTCTCGCAACAACTTGTCTGGCATAATTCCCAGCTATTTGGCAAGTTTCCGCTTCTTGCTGAATTTGAACCTCTCATTTAATGATTTTGAAGGTGCATTACCAATGAAAGGAGTTTTCGAGAATACAAGTGCACTTTCTGTCACGGGAAACTCACGAATTTGTGGAGGTATACCTTCTTTAAGATTGCCCAAATGCGTCTCCAAGCATTCTAAGCAAGGCTTATCTTCTAGGCCGAAAATAATTATCTCAGCTGCTTGTGGGGTTGTTGGATTGAGTTTTGCAATTTTGTTTGTGATTCTTTACCGATCAAGAAAAACAAGACCACTGAAGTCAACATCAGGATCATCATTGGGGGTTTCACTTTTGAAGTTGTCCTACGGAGATCTCCTTAAAGCAACTGATGGGTTCTCTGCAACCAATTTGATCGGTGCTGGTAGTTTTGGGTCCGTATATAAGGGAATACTCGATCAGTATGAAGGAATAATTGTTGCAGTGAAAGTACTCAATCTTCAAAGTGCAAGAGCTTCCAAAAGTTTCACTGCTGAATGTGAAGCTCTGAGAACAATTAGGCATCGAAATCTTGTCAAGCTACTGACTGCTTGTTCAAGCATCGATTTTCAAGGGAATGATTTCAAAGCTTTGGTTTATGACTTCATGGTGAATGGAAGTCTCGAAGAATGGCTACATAATTCAGCTCAACGGGGCGACAATCCAACCAATTCGCAGAAAAATCTGGTTCTTATTCAGAGAGTAAACATTGCAATCGACGTAGCGTGTGCTCTGGATTATTTGCACAACCGCTCTCACATGCCAATAGTTCATTGTGATTTAAAGCCAAGCAACATTCTCTTGGATGGTGACATGACTGCATGTGTTGGTGATTTTGGTTTGGCAAGGTTCCTCCCAGAGGCTTCTTGTTCATTTCCTGTGCACGAAAGCTCTTCCAATGCAATAAAAGGCTCCATAGGCTATACTGCCCCAGGTAAATTTTTGTGACATATATATACACACACAAATGAGATTTCTTTTATTTTTAGCATTAATTTCTAAAGTCATACATAAAAAAATATCTCTGTTTTTGTGAAAATAAATACACACACACACACATATATTGTTTGTGCTTGCACGATGTTTCTGTTTATGAGTTTTTGAAGTCACACATAAGAACCTAGCTGTGTTTTTGTGTATATAACTTAGAGTATGGAATGGGAAGCAAGGTGTCAACATATGGTGACCTGTATAGCTACGGAATCCTGCTGTTGGAGATGATAACAAGCAAGAGGCCAACAGATGACATGTTTAAAGATGGTATGGACTTGCACAATTTTGTTAAGATGGCTCTACCAGAACGTGTCGAAGAAATATGTGATCCACTACTTGTTCAAATAGAAGAAAGCAGCAGCAGTACTAATCCCAGAAGTAATAGGGGGAATCAAGTCCCAAATGATCAAAGACAAAGGGTTGTGGAGTGCTTGACTTCCATTGCAAGAATAGGAGTTGCTTGTTCTGCGGCAATGCCGAGAGATCGAAGGGACATGAGCAATGTTGTCGCTGAGTTGTGTCTAACAAGGGATGTGCTAACTGGAACAAGGAGGCCTAGAGAGCATCTGTGATCACGGCCGAATTAGTGAATCCCATGACAGTGCTTGTATGTTTCATTGTGATATTCTTAATGATGACGATGAGGAGTGGAACGAGTGAAGTGAACTTTTTGCAATTGTTTTTATGTATGTTTAAATGTTCTTATTAAATATGTAATTTTTCTTATTTGCATTACCATAATCTAAGTCCTGCATCCATGACTGAGTCCTCCAGCAAAACTAATAACAATCAGTTTTCGAAGTCCTCCAGCAAACAGGCCCTAAAGTTTTCTTAGGTTTCGAAGTCGTTTCTAGAAATTTTTCATAGTGAAGATTGGAGCGATTTCAGAGGGCTAGTTTAGTCTTGAACGTGTGGGCACTGGCATATGCAGATTTGTCTAAGAAATATCAAACCAAAACAAAACCAAGAACTTTCAACTGAATTGCACAAAAGAGTCAAAATTTAATTGCTATACAGAACTATTGGTTCAATTGCAAACAATCGAAATTCGAAACCCTACCTCCTCCATCCTACTGAGAGCGAAGCCCTCCTCAGGCAGCATCTCCGACGGAGGCGGCAAAATCGGATCGTCGGACCCGCCAAAACCTCCATCAAAGGCCTGTCCATTCGATTCGGCGTAGATCGACGGAGGAGAGAAGGCCTCCGACGCAGGCTGAGTGGCGAAAGCATCAACCCAGATAACAGTCGTCGTCGAACGGGCGAGTTGAACCGGTGGTGGGGACTGAGTCGTCGAGGCCATGATCAAGTCAAGTGTACTGACACGTAAGAAACGACTCTCTCTGTGTGGCTCTGAACTCCCGAGCGAAATGCTCGCAGGGGCAAAAACTACGCGGGAGAAATATCGACAGGCTGTAAGTGTGCTTATACCGGCTTATTGGGCTTTGATTAGTTCAGCCCAATATTATGTGGGCCCCATCTTCGTTTTGCCATACTTGCGTTACCGGACGATGTTCCCCAAAAAATAACCAAAATTTATTTTTTATTGTTAGGATGAGAACCAACTTTCTTCCACTACAGCCATCAACCTTCAGAAATAGAGTACTCTAGCGCCACGACTCCGTTTCCCCTTTCCATGGATAATAGCCGCCTGCGAAAGTATACCAACAAAGGCACCAGTAGCACGTGGATCATACCAGCTTTTTCCAATGAGGGGCCATTCACCGCAAGAGTGAGGGTCCCATTGCGATACTGTGTTCCCTAGCTTTCCGGATAGTCCATATTATCCCAGTCAGCAAGATAAGCTTTCCTCCGTGAACCATTGGACACGTCAGCATTGGCACTGCTGTTGTACAGCTCATCGATCGAAGGAATTGTCGCTAATACAGTGAGTTCATATAATTTCGGGCCCTTTGGCTTTCGTCCTTCACATACGCATAATCACCAACAGAGTGCTGTTGTACACTTCATATAAAAGCAATCAGGGGCGGATCCACAGTGAGGTCGTCGGGGTCGCACGACCCTTTGGAAACCATGGAAACAACCTTGAAGCTCCCATATGCGACCTCTTGGAGCTGGGGTCGTCGGGGTCGTCAGGAAGAGGAAGAAGAAGACTCGGCAGGAAGAGGAAAGTGGAGAATATGGGTGGGAGGTTACTAGGAAAGTGGAGAATATGGGTGGGTGGGAGGTTACTGCTGTATGCTTTTTAATTATTTTTTATTTAGCCTTTTCAATATCTGGATTTTTAATTCTGTTTTTAATTTTGTTGATGTTTCACTCTGTCTAGGAGTTTGCTAGGTAGTGGTGTTAATGGAGTCGTGAACTTTGAGAAATTTAAGGGATAAGTCTTCCACTTTTCCTTTTAATAGAATCTTCCAAATGTGTTTTTTAAGTTGCGTCATAGTATTATTTTAGTAACATTTTTAATAAAAGAATGTCATTAAAAATTTTACCAAATGTCATTAAAAATTTTACCAAGTGTTAATAAAAGAGTTATAGACTATCACTGTAAAGAATATTTCTTTAGGGATGATGTTTTTTAAAGGTCCTTGAGTGATGGCTTATATCCATTTCAAGCATTCAACTCTGTAACCGATAGTCTTAAAGCTCTTGCTGCAATTACTAAAGTTTCAATGGATATTTGGCATCAAAGATTGGGCCTTCCATCTATTAAGATACTAAATAAATTGGTTTCTAACTCATGTATTTCAATATATAGTAGCTCAAATAAATCCTTTTGTTTAGATTTTGCCTTAAGGAAAAATTTTAGGCTTTCTTTTATATCTGCAACTTGTCATACAAGCAAGCCTTTAGAACTACTTCATACTGACCAACACCTATAGCCTTTGTCCATGGTTTTAGGTATTGTGTCATCTTTTGCGGATGATTACACCAAGGATTGTTGGTTCTTCCCTTTGCAATGTAAATCCGATGTGTTTTCAACATTTATGCAATTCAAAACCCTCATTAAGGATAAGTCGTGCACTAAGATAATTACTATTCGATCTGATTATGGTAGTGAATTCTTGAGTACTGGATTCTCTAATTACTTAGTTGAGCATGGAATTCAGCATCAACTTAGCTATCCTAATACTCCAAAATAGAATGGTTGTGCTAAGCGCAAACATATGCACCTAGTTGAAACTGTCATGAATATTGTTAAGGGTCCACTTAGGAACAAAATGGGAGATCAATGGTTGAGTGATATCTTGCTTGTTTATATTGAGAGAGATATTTTTGCTTGTATTGAAAATGAAGCTATAATGCTTCGTTTTCAAAATATGAAACCTCGTCGTGGACAATTATAGTTTGTAATATTGTTTCCATTATGAATTATGAATGAAAGTACTATGATTTCATTTTCAATATGTTTTTCCGTCCTAAATTTTTATTTGAACTTTTACACTGCGACCCCTTGGGGTAAGATTCCTGGATCCGCCACTGAAAGCAATACGGAATTTTTTTTGTTTTCATGGGGTTTTACAACTTGGCTGCCATGGTTATCAATTTCAGAGAGGAGTGAAACAACTGGAATTTGAGAACCATGGCTTCTGGTTTTCATCAGGTAGAGGGAAGACGGAGAGAGGGAGAAAAAATATCAAGTTTAATTGTGATTTTTGTTTTTTATTGTGTTAGTGGCGGGACCCGTATGCAATATTGGAATTTTATAGAAAAGACGGGTGAGCGAACCCCCATGGAAATTTCGAAATCATTGCACCCGAGAGAAATTATTAAAGAGGGGGATTCTCTCTTCTTTTAATCTCTCTTTTCTTCTAATCTCTCTTTCTCCTTCTATCGTCTCAATATTACATTTACATCTTGTTTTGAATTTTTTATATAAAAAATAAGATAAAGAAAAGAATGTGAGATAAGGGGATAGAATAAGATGGTAATAGAAGAAGAAAAAATATTACTTCAATTATTACGGATTGTGACCTTCGATCTAAAATAATTGTAACAGTAGTGATATGACCGCTTGACTTCTTGAAGCCCGTGGAGTCAAAGTCGCGGCCCCCAAGCCACAATGATAAGAGTGTTAAATATTGAAGTATGTCTCACTCCACAAAGTATCTATATTAGGCTCATTGAGCTAAGGCTAGAATTTTTGCAAGGTTTTTCCATGTATAAACAACTCTGGTTCTTGACTCGAGCTTTATTTTGCAGAGCACATACATGGGATTCTTGGGTATCATTATTATCATCTGGTCAATTCTCATGCAATTGTGTCTCCTGATGGTTACTTCATCCTCCTTACATCTAGGAGGGAATGAGACGGATAGACAGTCCTTACTTGCATTTAAAGCTGAAATCGTGAACGATCCACTGGGCATTCTTAGCTCCTGGAATGAATCCCTCCACTTCTGTCAGTGGCAAGGCATTGCTTGTAGCCGTAGGCACCAGAGAGTCACCGTGCTGAACCTCCAATCAAGCCGGCTGAATGGTCAGCTATCTCCCCACATTGGAAACTTGAGCTTTCTCAGAACTTTAAACCTCCAAAACAACAGCTTCAACAACACCATCCCTCAAGAAATTGGTCGTTTGTTCCGTCTGCAACAACTACGCCTTGAAAACAACTCCTTCAGCGGTGATATTCCATTCAACATATCACGTTGCTCTAACCTCCAAATACTTCGCATAGTTGGAAACCATCTTAGGGGCAAACTTCCAATTGAAATTGGCTACTTGTCCCAGCTTCAGGTACTTCATTTAAGAAACAACAATTTAAGCGGGGAAATCCCACTTTCTTTTGGAAATCTTTCTTCTCTCCAGGTGTTGTCTGTGCAAGACAATAATCTACATGGAGGTATTCCGCATAGTCTTGGCCAGTTGAAAAGATTAAAAATTCTTGCAGTGGGTTCCAATAATTTGAATGGTACCATCCCTCCCTCCATATACAACCTTTCATCAATTAGAACCATTTCTGTGCTTCTAAACGAACTGCATGGCACTCTTCCTCCTGGGTTGGGCCACACTATATTTCCAAACCTCCAAGAATTTTATTTCTGGTCCAACCAATTCAGTGGACAGATACCAACTTCAATCTCCAATGCCTCACACCTTTCATTTTTTTTTATCGAATCCAATAAGTTTACAGGAAAAGTGCCTAGTTTGGCACGCCTGTCAAATTTGTATAAGTTAACACTTGCCAATAACAGTCTTGGAAATGACGAGGAAGGTGACTTGGGTTTCATCTATTCTCTAGTTAATTGCACCAAATTAACGAAGTTTGATGTTAGTGACAATAATTTTGGAGGAGTGCTACCTGAATCCATCAGCAATCTCTCAACAGAGCTCAACCTACTAGTATTTGATCGTAACCAGATACGCGGAAGAATTCCCATTGGGATCGGAAATCTAATCAACTTAGAGGTAGTAGGCTCTCAGGGAAACCTATTAACAGGCACAATACCAAGTTCTATTGGTAAACTGAAAAGGTTGGATGGTCTATATCTGAACTTCAATAAACTATCAGGTACCATCCCATCTTCTCTTGGAAATCTAACTTTAATGACCAGGTTGATTCTCAAGTCGAACAAGTTTGAAGGCAACATACCGCAAAGTCTCGGAGAATGCAGGAGTATTCTAAATTTAGATCTTTCCCAAAATAATCTTCGTGGTCAAATTCCTAAAGAAGTTATTGGTTTAGCATCCTTGTCACAAATTTTGGATCTATCCAGCAACAAGCTTACTGGATCCATACCAATGGAGGTAAGCAACTTGATGCATGTAGTTGACTTGGATGTTTCTGACAATAGGTTATCTGGTGAGATTCCACAAAGTTTAGGGAGTTGTACAAGTTTAGCAACTCTGTATTTGAGTGGAAACTCATTGCAGGGGACCATTCCTGAATCCTTGAGCTCTTTGAGAGGGATTGAGAATTTCGACCTCTCTCGCAACAACTTGTCTGGCAGAATTCCCAACTATTTGGAGAGTTTCCGCTTCTTAGTGAATTTGAACCTCTCTTTTAATGAGTTTGAAGGTGCATTACCAATGAAAGGAGTTTTCGAGAACACTAGTGCGCTTTCTGTCACGGGAAACTCAAGGATTTGTGGAGGTATACCTTCTTTAAGATTGCCCAAATGCGTCTCCAAGCAAGGGTTATCTTCTAAGCTGAAAATAATTATCTCAGTTGCTTGTGGGGTTGTTGGATTGAGTTTATCGATTTTGTTTATGATTCTTTACCGATCAAGAAAAGCAAGAGGAGTGAAGTCAACTTCTGGATCATCACCGGGGGTTTCACTTTTGAAATTGTCCTACAGTGATCTCCTTAAAGCAACCGATGGGTTCTCTGCAGCCAATTTGATTGGTGCTGGTAGTTTTGGGTCTGTATATAAGGGAAGGGATGTGATATCCACACACCCTTTTTTACTTCTCACACACCCTTCTAATTTTGGGCCGTCGGATCGAATGAATTGAAGAAGATCAACGGACAGAAATTAACAAAGGGTGTGTGAGAAGTAAAAAGGGGTGTGTGGATAGCACACCCCATAAGGGAATACTCGATCAGTATGAAGGAAGAACTGTTGGAGTGAAAGTACTCAATCTTCAAAGTGCAAGAGCTTCCAAAAGTTTCACTGCTGAATGTGAAGCTCTGAGAACCATTAGGCACCGAAATCTTGTCAAGCTACTAACTGCCTGTTCAAGCATCGATTTTCAAGGGAATGATTTCAAAGCTTTGGTTTATGACTTCATGGTGAATGGAAGTCTCGAAGAATGGCTGCATAATTCAGCTCAACGGGGCGACAATCCAACCAATCTACAGAAGAATTTGGATCTTATTCAGAGAGTAAACATTGCAATCGACATAGCGTGTGCTCTGGATTATTTGCACAACCGCTCTCACCTGCCAATAGTTCATTGTGATTTAAAACCAAGCAACATTCTTTTGGATGGTGACATGACTGCATGTGTTGGTGATTTTGGTTTGGCAAGGTTCCTCCCAGAGGCTTCTTGTTCATTTCCTGTGCATGAAAGCTCTTCCAATGCAATAAAAGACTCCATAGGCTATACTGCCCCAGGTAATTTTTTGTAACATATATATATACACACAAAAATGAGATTTCGTTTATTTTTAGCATTAATTTTTAAAGTCATACATAAAAAAATATCTCTGTTTTTGTGAAAATACACACACACACACACATATATTGTTTGTGCTTGCACGATGTTTTCTGTTTATGAGTTTTTGAAGTCACACATAAGAACCTAGCTGTGTTTTTGTGTATATAACTTAAGAGTATGGAATGGGAAGCAAGGTGTCAACATATGGTGACCTGTATAGCTACGGAATCCTGCTGTTGGAAATGATAACAAGCAAGAGGCCAACAGATGACATGTTTAAAGATGGTATGGACTTGCACAATTTTGTTACGATGGCTCTACCAGAACGTGTGGAAGAAATATGTGATCCATTACTTGTTCAAATAGAAGAAAGCACCAGCAGTACTAATCCCAGAAGTAATAGGGGGAATCAAGTCCCAAATGATCAAAGACAAAGGGTTGTGGAGTGCTTGACTTCCATTGCAAGAATAGGAGTTGCTTGTTCTGCAGCAATGCCGAGAGATCGAAAGGACATGAGCAATGTTGTCGCTGAGTTGTGTCTAACAAGGGATGTGCTGACTGGAACAAGGAGGCCTAGAAAGCATCTGTGATCACGGCCGAATTAGTGAATCCCATGACAGTGCTTGTATGTTTCATTGTGATATTCTTAATGATGACGATGAGGAGTGGAACGTGTGAAGTGAACTTTTTGCAATTGTTTTTATGTATGTTTAAATGTTCTTATTAAATATGTAATTTTTCTTATTTGCATTACCATCATCCAAAGAATGTCTCTTGGGACCCTATCATACGCTTTTTCCAAATCTATAAAGACCATGTGTAAATCCTTTTTCCCATCTCTATATCTTTCCATCAATCTTCGTAAGAGATAGATTGCCTCCATGGTTGAGCGCCCTGGCATGAACCCGAATTGGTTGTCCGAAACCCGTGTCTCTTGCCTCAATCTATGCTCAATGACTCTTTCCCAGAGCTTCATTGTATGACTCATTAGCTTAATACCCCTATAGTTCATGCAATTTTTAAGGGCGATGTACAAAATTGCATGAACTATAGGGGTATTAAGCTAATGAGTCATACAATGAAGCTCTGGGAGAGAGTCATTGAGCATAGATTGAGGCAAGAGACACGGGTTTCGGACAACCAATTCGGGTTCATGCCAGGGCGCTCAACCATGGAGGCAATCTATCTCTTACGAAGATTGATGGAAAGATATAGAGATGGGAAAAAGGATTTACACATGGTCTTTATAGATTTGGAAAAAGCGTATGATAGGGTCCCAAGAGACATTCTTTGGAGGATTTTAGAGAAGAAAGGAGTACGAGTAGCATATATCCAAGCTATACAGGATACGTATGAAGGAGCAAAGACTGCCGTAAGAACTCATGAAGGACAAACCGAAAGCTTTCCTATAATTGTAGGATTACATCAAGGCTCATCCTTAAGTCCTTACCTTTTTGCGTTGGTAATGGATGAGTTAACAGGACATATTCAAGGTGATATTCCTTGATGTATGCTTTTCGCAGACGATATAGTGTTGATAGATGAAACTCAGGAAGGGGTAAATGCAAAGCTTAACCTTTGGAGAGAAGTGTTGGAATCTAAAGGTCTTCGCCTAAGCCGATCAAAGACATAATATATGGAGTGCAAGTTCAGTGCAAATGGAGGCCAAAACGAGTTAGGGGTGAGGATCGGAGATCAAGAAATACCAAAGAGCGACCGTTTTCTTTACCTAGGATCTATCTTGCAAAAGAACGGAGAATTAGATGGAGATCTCAACCATAGAATACAAGCTGGATGGATGAAGTGGAAGAGTGCATCCGGCGTGTTGTGTGACCGCCGTATGCCACTGAAGCTCAAGGGAAAATTTTATAGAACGGCAATAAGGCCGGCGATGCTGTATGGCACAGAATGTTGGGCGGTGAAGCATCAACACGTACACAAAATGGGTGTAGCGGAGATGAGGATGCTTCATTGGATGTGTGGGCACACGAGAAAGGATAAGATTAGGAATGAGGATATCCGGGGTAAAGTAGGAGTAGCCGAAATTGAAGGAAAGATGAGAGAAAATCGGTTACGGTGGTATGGACATGTGCAAAGAAGGCCTACTGACGCTCCGATTAGAAGATGCGACTATGGGACAAAGGTTCAAGGCCGAAGGGGTAGAGGAAGACCTAGGAAAACTTTGGAAGAGACCCTAAGAAAAGACTTAGAGTACTTGGATCTAACGGAGGACATGACACAGGACAGAACACAATGGCGTTCTAAGATTCATATAGCCGATCCCACTCAGTGACTTGGATTTTCCAAGTCTCCAACCGAGAAGTTTTCCTCACTCGGGAAATTAAGGGAACACTACCTCAACCTATATGCTCCACTCACAAAGCTTCAACATACAAGCTTCAACAAAAGAAAATTCAAAGAACTTAGCGAAGAAGGCTTTGGTGTATTTAACACAATACGTTGAAATGAAGGAAAGCTTATTTATTGATATCCCCGATAAGTTACAAATATGTACATATACTTGAGTCAAAATAAACAAACAAGAGGGAGCCTTCACAAAGGTTGCTTAGGAGAAGTCTCAGCAGTCGGTAGAGCCCCAGAAAGAGAAGGCACCGAAGGGGGATCATTCGGAGCCTTAGTACTGGACAAAACCCTAGAAGGAGGAGGCATCAGAGGTTGATCATTTGGAGCTTCATTACGCGGTACAGCCCTAGAAGACGAAGACAATAAATGCCTTTGGAACAAACCCACAAATCTCTGATGATCAAGTAAAACCTGACCATCAGATTCCTTCATCTGATCAAGCTTCCTCTTCATGTTTGTAGCATAGTCATGTGCGAGCCGGTGCAACTGTTTATTCTCATGCTTGAGCCCTCTAATCTCCTGTTTGAGACTCATCACTTCAGCCGCCAATGATTCAACTTGGCGGGTTCGAGCAAATAGGCGTTGGGCCATATTAGACACAGAACCTGCACACTGAACACTGAGAGCCAGAGAATCCTTAACAGCCAACTCATCAGACCGTTTGGAAAGTAGTCTGTTATCTTTGGGAGTGAGAAGGTTCCTGGCCACTACCGCAGCGGTCATATCATTCTTCATCACGGAATCCCCAACGGTAAGAGGACCAGTAGGGGAGACGAATGATGGGCGCCATATGTTGTCTGGAGAAGGCGGGGCTACCTCTTCAACAAGGTTCAAGTCAAAACGACGGTCGGAGGGGCCAGACATTTTCAAAGGTGTTGAAGAGAGAAGAGGTCGGACAAATCAAGATCTTAGAAGTGCAAGAATGGAGCTTCTACTGGTGGATATTCAAGTGTGCTTTGGAACTTAATGTCAGCCTCTATAAAAATCTGCACTCGATGAAGCTTCAGAAATCGAAGAGGCGCCTGCTCAGAAATCGAAGAGGCGTTTGCTTTCTCAAAAGCTGGGCTGCTCAGAGACCACGAGGGTCGATCTCAGAAATCGAAGAGGCGTTTGCTTTCTCAAAAGCTGGGCTGCTCAAAGACCACGAAGGCCGATCTTAGAAATCGAAGAGGCTTGCTTTTTCAAAAGCTGGGCTGCTCAGAGACCACGAGGGCCGATCTCAGAAATCGAAGAGGCACCTACTTTTCCAGCCTTGTCAGCACCTGTCACACGCACACTCAGCTTTACGGAAATTATGGGCATTCTGTCGAAGATTTCTGGCGAAGTAGAAAGCACATGAATCGTACTGTTCAATCACCCACTTCCCACACGCAACAGTAGCTCATGGGTACCACAGATAACTTTGCCAAAGTTCTCTGACAAAGTTGAGACACGTGAAGCTTGCAGCTCCCACTACATCGCTCTGACCAAGAAGGGTAAAAGAATTGCAAAGAAACAACACTAACAAAGTTTAGACACATAAATTTTGAAGGTCTAGCTACCATATTATTACCCACAAGGGTAAAGGAACAGTACCACTGCTGGATAATTGGAAAGTCCCGGTGTGTCAACCTTTGTGCTTCGTGGCAAGGTAGACTAGCAAACATGCCCAACCTTTACTCATATTCGAGAAAACACTCCCAACAAGATTGCTTGCTCCAAAATCGAAGAGGCACCGCTCTCCGAATCTCGAGAGTCAGACTCCCAACATGATTACTTTCTCAAAAATCGAAGAGAGGGTAAAGGAACAGTACCACTGCTGGATAATTAGAAAGTCCCTGTGTGTCAACCTTTGTGCTTCGTGGCAAGGTAGACTAGCAAACATGCCCAACCTTTACTCACATTCGAGAAAACACTCCCAACAAGATTGCTTGCTCCAAAATCGAAGAGGCACCGCCCCCGAATCTCGAGAGCCAGACTCCCAACATGATTACTTTCTCAAAAATCGAAGAGAGGGTAAAGGAACAGTACCACTGCTGGATAATTGGAAAGTCCCTGTGTGTCAACCTCTGTGCTTCGTGGCAAGGTAGACTAGCAAATATGCCCAACCTTTACTCACATTCGAGAAAACACTCCCAACAAGATTGCTTGCTCCAAAATCGAAGAGGCACCGCCCTCCGAATCTCGAGAGCCAGACTCCCAACATGATTACTTTCTCAAAAATCGAAGAGACACCGCTCTCCGAATCTCGAGAGCCAGACCCCCAGCAGGATTACTTTCTCAAAAATCGAAGAGGCATCGCTCTCCGAATCTCGAGAGCCAGATCCCCGACAGGATTGCTTGTTCGAAAACCGAAGAGGCACCACTTTCCCAACTTCAAGAGCTGGATCTCCTTGGATAAAGCTTGTCTGTAATCTTCACACGCAACATCAGCTTTCCAGATACCACAGACCACTTTTTCAAAGTGCTCTGACAGAGTTAAAACATGTGATGCTGGCAGCTCCCACTACCGTGCTATGACCAAGCAGGGTAAAGGAATAGCATTATTACTTGATGTTAGGGAGACTCCTATATATGTCGACCTCCATCCCTAATGGACAGGCAGACCTGTAAAAATGCTCAACCCTTTCTCTTATCTGAGAGGGCACTCCCAACGAAGCCTTTCGAAATATTCAGCTTTCTTTCCCCCCGATAATACCTCTGTAAACAAGCTATACTAGAGCAAGAATATCTCATATCATCAGGGTTAAAAGCAAGAGTATCCCATATCATGCTTTTTCCCTGTCTTTTCCTTTGGCCTTGTTCTTACCTGCAAGACAAAGAGAAAGAGAGCAATCAGTCAGCACTTGGAATCAAGCTTCCAGCTAGGAACTGACTGCCTGGAACCCCTTACCTGATTACTTACCTGGCATTGCTCTCGAGTACTCATCTTCAACATCTTATGCTTCCAGGGAAGATACCGCATCTGCCTGAGGAACAGATAGGGCAAGTGAGAAGGATACAAGGAAGCATGTGGAGACAAGCGTAACAGCACACGTGCCGATACATCCACTACTCTGTCAAAAGCAAAAGTATCTCATATCAGCAGGGTCGAACGTACTCTAGATTTGATGGACTTGTTTTGACCCTCAAATTCTTCAGTCGGCCTTATACTTTGGAGGAAACCAGAAAACCCTCCAGCCCAGTTCAAGAATAAGCCTGTGGAAAGTTACTTCTTCAAAAGCAAAAGTATCCCATATCATATCTTCTCATTTTTCTTCTCTTTATCCTTCATGCTGCCTGCAAGATAGGGAGAATGTGAACAATCAGCCGGAGCTCTGATTGCTTACCTTGTCTGGCACCTCTTTCAGCAGATCCCCTAGCTCGGCGACTTGGGGGACTTCTACTACATGGTTTGTATCGTGCTTGACCAAGCATGAAACTACAAGTAAGCTTCAAGTGAAATTGATACATTACCTTGTGCATCTCCACCAGTTACAGATACCATCCCTGGATGGAGGAAGAGTACTTCCAGAAGATGCCACATCTACCTATGAGACAGATAAGGCAAGTCAAGACGATACCACACTCCGGTACTTAGAAGTTTCGTGGCTACGAGATCATTCTCCTACAATATTTCCTAATGTCATTTGTACTAAATCATTCACTTGTACTCACTAAAGGAGAGCTTGAACCTATGTACTTATGTAAACCCTTCACAATTAATGAGAACTCCTATATTCCGTGGACGTAGCCAATCTGGGTGAACCACGTACATCTTGTGTTTGCTTTCCTATCTCTATCCATTTATATACTTATCCACATTAATGACCGGAGCAATCTAGCGAAGATCACAAAAAGTGACCGTTTTCGCTACCTAGGATCTATCTTGCAAGAGAACGGAGAATTAGATGGAGATCTCAACCATAGAATACAAGCTGGATGGATGAAGGGTAAGAGTGCATCCGGCGTGTTGTGTGACCGTCGTAGGCCACTGAAGCTCAAGGGAAAATTTTATAAGACAACAATAAGGCCAGCGATGTTGTATGGCACAGAATGTTGGGCGGTGAAGCATCAACACGTACACAAAATGGGTGTAGCGGAGATGAGGATGCTTCATGGGATGTATGGGCACACGAGAAAGGATAAGATTGGGAATGAGGATATCCGAGGTAAAGTAGGAGTAGCCAAAATTGAAGGAAATATGAGAGAAAATCGGTTCCGGTGGTTTGGACATGTGCAAAGAAGGCCTACTGACGCTCCGGTTCGAAAATGTGACTACGGGACAGAGGTTCAGGGCCGAAGGGGTAGAGGAAGACCTAGGAAAACTTTGGAAGAGACCCTAAGAAAAGACTTGAGTACTTGGATCTAACGGAGGACATGACACAAAACCGAGCGCAATGGCGTTCTAAGATTCATATAGCCGACCCCACTTAGTGGGAAAAGGCTTTGTTGTTGTTGTTGTTGTTGTTGTTGTGTTGCATTACCATCATCTAAGTCCTGCATCCATGACTGAGTCCTCCAGCAAAACTAATAACAATCAGTTTTCGAAGTCCTCCAGCAAACAGGCCCTAAAGTTTTCTTAGGTTTCAAAGTCGTTTCTCGAAATTTTTTTTAGTGAAGATTGGAGCGATTTCAGAGGGCTAGTTTAGTCTTGAACGTGTGGGCACTGGCATATGCAGATTTGTCTGTAAGAAATATCAAACCAAATCAAAACCAAGAACTTTCAACTGAATTGCACAAAAGAGTCAAAATTTAATTGCTATTTAGAACTATTGGTTCAATCGCAAACAATCGAAATTCGAAACCCTACCTCCTCCATCCTACTGAGAGCGAAGCCCTCCTCGGGTGGCATCTCCGACGGAGGAGGCAAAATTGGATCGTCGGACCCGCCAAAACCTCCATCAATGCCCTGTCCATTCGATTCGGCGTAGATCGACGGAGGAGAGAAGGCCTCCCACGCAGGCTGAGTGGCGAAAGCATCAACCCAGATAACAGTCGTCGTCGAACGGGCGAGTTGAACCGGTGGTGGGGACTGAGTCATCGAGGCCATGATCAAGTCAAGTGTACTGACACGTAAGAAACGACGCTCTCAGTGTGGCTCTGAAGTTTTGAACTCCCGAGCGAAATGCTCGCAGAGGCAAAAACTAGGCGGGAGAAATATCGACAGGCTCTAAGTGGGCTTATACCGGCTTATTGGGCTTTGATTAGTTCAGCCCAATATTATGTGGGCCGCTTCTTCGTTTTGCCATACTTGCGTAGTTGCGTTACCAGACGATGTTCCCCAAAAACATAACCAAAATTTATTGTTTATTGTTACGATGAGAACCAACTTTCTTCCACTACAGCCATCAACCTTGAGAATACTCTTTTGTTTTTAGCTCCCAGTTGCTTTGGCCCTCTAGCGCCACGACTCCGTTTCCCCTTTCCATTGGTAATAGCCGCCTGCGAAAGTATACCAACAAAGGCACCAGTAGCACGTGGATGATACCAGCTTTTTTCCAATGAGGGGCCATTCACCGCAAGAGTGAGGGTCCCATTGCGATAGTGTGTTCCCTATCTTTCCGGATAGTCCATATTATCCCAGTCAGCATTGGCAGTGCTGTTGTACAGCTCATTGATCGAAGGAATTGTCGCATAATCACCGATAATTGTCGCTAATACAGTGAGTTCATATAATTAATTAAAAAGTTACGATAATGAATTTATTAATATAAAAGCAATCCCTTTAATAATGAATTTCTCATCATCTCAATGCCTGCAGTGCTGAATCAGTGCTGAATGGGTCTGCTTCTTTTATTCCACATCTACAAGGCCCTTTCACTTTTGGTGCCTTTTCATATCTTCTGTTTATCTGATCATGGTTAAATCATTTAAATATTTTATATTATTATTTATTTTTATCTTATTATCTTTATAAAAAATAATATAAAATATTAATGTGGCTTAACCGTGACCACACAAAACGAAAGAGCATGAAAGGACATCGAAAATAGAAGGGCAGACGATCCTTTTCCCTACAGCATCTCATCATCTCACGCCAGCACAAGTTGATAAAGTAGATATAGAAGCCCATAAAATAACTAAAATTTTTTGGGAGAGAGAGAAACGTAGACTGAGATTTAGATCTTCGGAATTTGTTTGTTTTGATGGGGTTTTACACTTGGCTGCCATGGTTATCAATTTCAGAGAGGAGTGAAACAACTGGAATTTGAGAACCATGGCTTCTGGTTTTCATCAGGTAGAGGGAAGACGGAGAGAGTGAGAAAAAATACCAAGTTTAATTGTGATTTTTTTTTATTGTGTTAGTGGCGAGACCCGTATGCAATATTGGAATTTTATAGAAAAGACGGGTGAGCGAACCCCATGGAAATTTGGCTAGGAGAAATCATTGCACCCGAGAGAAATTATTATGGAGTAGGATTTTCTTTTTTTCTAATTTCTTATTTTTTTTATGTCGTCTTCTATTTAAATGATTGCAATTACATCACATTTACATCTTGTTTTGAATTTGTTATATAAAGAATAAGTTAAAAAGAAGAATGAGATGAGGAGATAGAAGAAGATGGTAATAGAAGAAGAAAGAATAGTACTCCAATTATTACGGACTGTGACCTTCGATCTAAAATAATTGTAACAGTAGTACTATGACCGCTTGACTTCTTGAAACCCGCAGAGTCAAAGTTGCGGCCCCCAAGCCACAATGATAAGAGTGTTAAATATTGAAGTATGTCTCACTCCACAAAGTATCTATATTAGGCTCATTGAGCTAAGGCTAGAATTTTTGCAAGGTTTTTCATGTATAAACAGTATCTGGTCCTTGACTCGAGCTTTACTTCGCAGAGCGCATACATGGGGTTCTCCAGTATCATTAACATTATCTGGTCAATTCTTATGCAACTGTTTCTCCTGATGAGTACTTCATCCTCCTTACATCTAGGAGGGAATGAAACGGATAGACAGTCCTTGCTTGTATTTAAAGCTAAAATCGTGAATGATCCACTGGGCATTCTTAGCTCCTGGAATGAATCCCTCCACTTCTGTCAGTGGCAAGGTATTGTTTGTGGCCGTAGGCACCAGAGAGTCACCGTGCTGGATCTCCAATCAAGCCGGCTGTACGGTCAGCTATCTCCCCACATTGGAAACTTGAGCTTTCTCAGAAATTTAAACCTCCAAAACAACAGCTTCAACAACATCATCCCTCAAGAAATTAGCCGTTTGTTCCAACAACTACTCCTTGAAAACAACTCATTCAGTGGTGATATTCCATTCAACTTATCACGTTGCTCTAACCTCCAAATACTTCGCATAGCTAGAAACCATCTTGTGGGTAAAATTCCAATTGAAATTGGTTCCTTGTCCAAGCTTCAGGTACTTAAATTAACCAAAACCAATTTAAGTGGGGAAATCCCAGCTTCTTTGGGAAATCTTTCTTTTCTCCAGGTGTTAGATGTGAAAGAAAATAATCTGCGTGGAGGCATTCCGAATAGCCTTGGCCAGTTGAAAAGACTAACATATCTTTCATTGGGTGAAAATTATTTGAATGGTACCATCCCTCCCTGCATATACAACCTCTCATCAATTACACTCATTTCTGTGCTTCTAAACGAACTGCATGGAACTCTTCCTCCTGGGTTGGGCCACACTATATTTCCAAACCTCCAACAATTTTATTTCCGGTCCAACCAATTCAGTGGATCGATACCAAATTCAATCTCCAATGCCTCAAACCTTTCACATTTTGAAATCTCAATCACTGAGTTTACTGGAAAAGTGCCTAGTCTAGCACGCCTGTCAAATTTGTATTTGTTAGGACTTGCCGATAACAATCTTGGAAATGATGAGGAAGGTGACTTGGATTTCATCTCTTCCCTAGTTAATTGCACCAAATTAACACTGTTTGATGTTCGTGGCAATAATTTTGGAGGAGTGCTACCTGAATCCATCAGCAATCTCTCAACAGAGCTCAATCAAATGGTAATTGGTCGTAACCGGATACGCGGAAGAATTCCCATTGGGATCGGAAATCTAATCAATTTAGAGGTAGTAGCCTCTGAGGGAAATCTACTGACAGGCACAATACCAAGTTCTATTGGTAAACTAAAAAGGTTGGACTCTCTGGATCTGAAGGAGAATAAACTATCAGGTACCATCCCATCTTCTATTGGAAATCTAACTTCATTAACCAGGTTGATTCTCGAGTGAAACAAGTTAGACGGCAACATACCCGAAAGTCTCGGAGAATGCAGGAATCTGCTACTTTTACTTCTTTCCCAAAATAATCTCCGCGGTCAAATTCCTAAACAAGTTATTGGTTTATCATCCATGTCACGAATTTTGGATTTATCCAGCAACAAGCTTACTGGATCCATACCAATGGAGGTAAGCAACTTGATGCATCTAGATTTCTTGGATGTTTCTCACAATCGGTTATCTGGTGAGATTCCACGAAGCTTAGGGAGTTGTACAGGTTTGACAACTCTGTATCTGAGTGAAAACTCATTGCAGGGGACCATTCCTGAATCCTTGAGCTCTTTGAGAGGGATTAAGGATTTCGACCTCTCTCGCAACAACTTGTCTGGCATAATTCCCAGCTACTTGGCGAGTTTCCGCTTCTTGCTGAATTTGAACCTCTCGTTTAATGATTTTGACGGTGCATTACCAGTGAAAGGAGTTTTCGAGAATATAAGTGCACTTTCTGTCACGGGAAACTCACGGATTTGTGGAGGTATACCTTCTTTAAGATTGCCCAAATGCGTCCCCAACCATTCTAAGCAAGGCTTATCTTCTAGGCTGAAAATAATTATATCAGCTGCTTGTGGGGTTGTTGGATTGAGTTTTGCGATTTTGTTTGTGATTCTTTACCGATCAAGAAAAGCAAGAGGAGTGAAGTCAACTTCAGGATTAACATTGGGGGTTTCATTTTTGAAGTTGTCCTACAGAGATCTCCTTAAAGCAACTGATGGGTTCTCTGCAGCCAATTTGATTGGTGTTGGTAGTTTTGGGTCCGTATATAAGGGAATACTCGATCAGTATGAAGGAAGAATTGTTGCAGTGAAAGTACTCAATCTTCAAAGTGCAAGAGCTTCCAAATTTTTCACTGCTGAATGTGAAACTCTGAGAACAATTAGGCACCGAAATCTTATCAAGCTACTAACTGCTTGTTCAAGCATCGATTTTCAAGGAAATGATTTCGAAGCTTTGGTTTATGACTTCATGGTGAATGGAAATCTCGAAAAATGGCTGCATAATTCAGCTCACAGGGCGACAATCCAACCAATCCGCAGAAAAATCTGGATCTTATTCAGAGAGTAAACATTGCAATCGACAGAGCGTGTGCTCTGGATTATTTGCACAACCAGTCTCACATGCCAATAGTTCATTGTGATTTAAAGCCAAGCAACATTCTCTTGGATGGTGACATGACTGCATGTGTTGGTGATTTTGGTTTGGCAATGTTCCTCCCTGTGCACGAAAGCTCTTCCGATGAAATAAAAGGCTCCATAGGCTATACTGCCCCAGGTAAAATTTCCTGATATCTTTCTTTTTAGCTTTAATGTTGTGATTCACAGTCAAGACATAACTATGTTTTTGTGCATTAAATTATAGAGTACGTCATGGGATGCGAGGTGTCAACATCTGGTGATGTGTATAGCTATGGAATCTTGTTACTAGAGATGCTAACAGGCAAGAGGCCAACGGATGACATGTTCAAAGACGGTCTGAATCTGCACAGCTTTGTTGTGAATGCAGTTCCTGAACACGTGAAAGAAATATGTGATCCGCTACTTCTTCAAAATGAAGAAAAAAATGGTGGGGATCGCAGGCAAAAATTTGAGGAGTGCTTGATTTCACTTGCAAGAATAGGAGTTGCTTGTTCTGCAGAAATGTCGAGAGAGCGCAAGGACATGACCAATGTTGTTCCTGAGTTGTGTCTTATGAGGGATGTGCTGATGGGAACCAGGATGCCTTAAGAGACTGTTAGAATTTAGAAACTGGACCATTTCACTTCATTCGAATTCTTAGAATTACTTGTTTTTCATTTTTGATGCCATTTGTATTTATTTTCAGTAACACCATTTTAAAATCCAACAAAAAACCTAAGCAAGAAACATTTCCATGGCGAAAAGTACTTATCTCAATTGCCTGTGGGAGTGATATTGGAATTGTCTTCCTGTTGTGCTTTGTGCTTCTTTATCCATCAAGAAAATCATTGCGCTGTGTACTTTTATCTATCAAGAAAATCAAGAATGAAGTCAACTTCAGGATCATCATGGGAGGTTTCACTCTTGAAAGTTTCATACGGTGATCTCCTCAAAGCGACTAATGGGTTTTCTTCTCGGAATTTGATTGGTGCTGGTAGCTTTGGGTCTGTGTACAGGGGAATTCTCAATCAGGAGGAAGAAAGAATTGTTGCAGTTAAAGTGCTTAATGTTCAAGGTTCAAGAGAGAGTTTTACAGCTGAATGTGAAGCCTTGAAAAACATTAAGCACCCGAATCTTGTCAAGCTACTCACCGTGTGTTCAAGTATCGATTTTCAAGGACATGATTTCAAAGCTTTGATATATGAATTCATGGTGAAGGGAAATCTTGAAGAGTGGCTGCATTTTCAGCTCATAGACTACCTGGGGCCCCCATCGTGCAGGGCCATTTGAACCTTATTCAGAGGGTAAACATTGCCATCGACATGGCTAATGCTCTAATTTATTTGCACAACCACTCTCACGTACCAATAATTCATTGTGATTTGAAACCCAGCAACGTTCTCTTGGAAGGCGACATGACTGCTCGCGTTGCTGATTTTGGTCTAGCAAGGTACCTCCCAGATGCTTCATGTTCACTTCCTTTGCACAGAAGCACTGCAAATGTCATTAACGGTTCCATAGGCTATATTGCCCCTGGTAAGTTGGATTGTTGTTTCAACCTCTTTCTAACATGTACAAGAGAACAATTCTCTTCTTATTTCAATTTTTAACTGTATCTTCTGTACGAAAACCTGTTGAGTATGAAATGGGAAACGAGGTTTCAACATATGGTGATGTGTATAGCTATGGAATCCTGTTGTTGGAGATGCTTACTGGAAAGAGGCCTACAGATGAAATGTTCAATGATGGTCTGAACCTCCACAAGTTCGTTCAGATAGCTTTGCCTGAACTCGTAGAAGAAATATGTGATCCGGTGATTCTTCAAATAAAAGAAAGCAGCACTCGTAGTAATGGCTCAAGCAATAGGAATCAGGTCCAAGATGATCAAAGGCAAAGAGTTAGGAAGTGCTTGGTTATCATGGCCAGGATAGGAGTTGCTTGTTCTGCAGATTTGCCGGGAGATCACGGCCTAAGCAGCATGCAATCCAACTGAGTTTGTTCGAGTACTGAATCAAGGATTCGGGCCTATTTCATAAGCTTTCTAGACTCCGAGTTACCTTTGCAGAATTGCAGACATGAACAATATTGTAAGCATCAAATAAAATCAGAAACAAAAAGTAATAATTATCAACTCAAAATTTAACTTCTTAGTTGCATTTTTTGTTTATTTCTTTCCAACATGCATCATCACTTTGTCCTTTTTCTTTTCTTCGACCTCCAGTCAACAGCGACAGCAACAGACTGTGTCATCAATTTGCTCTCTGTGTCAAGTGTTAACAGTAAGAACACTTTCAAAGTAGCACTGAAAATTTGAAGTGTGAACACAAATATAAGATTAACATATATTCTTATTAGTATGAATGAGCATAATTTATAGTCATATTCTCGGCAGTTTGCTGCATAATTTCTTTATGCCCTTCAGTCATGGTGTGAAGAATTCAACTGACTGTCTGGCAACCTGAAACCCTTGGTCATGATGTTTAACAAAGAATTGTACTTCCTGCCAACTCATAACCTGCATTTTGATACTTCACTCTGCCTTGCGTAATTTAATCACCAGAATTCCTGCATTGCCGCGTGAGGAGGAGGAGGAAAGGTAATCGTTGAAGTAGAGTTCAGCCAAAAGCTACATTTTGCATTATGTATACCTTTCCAATGAAAGGGGTTCAGCTCAACCAACATGTAACATTTCCCTCACAGCAATCAACACTAGAAGAGTTATGTGCCAAGCCCAAAGGTCCTGTAGACCCACGACATTTCCAAAGTCTTTGAGTAACCAATTTGGACTCCAGAGTTTAATCCTGTCTGCTCTTCAACTTTCAAAGTCTTTCCATCAACTTACAATGTCTTTCATCAAGACCTACATTTGCTGCAATTAATGTTTTGTTTCTGTTCATGCATATGTACTTCTGCTTCAAAACTTACGCTTTCATTTGCGGCCTCCTTGATGGAGTTCCCATCCTCCTTAGTACTAGGTTTATTTTCATACGACTCTTTCCTTTTCCCTCTGCCCCCTGCTCACGTCTAGGAGGAGATGAAGTGGATAGGCTGTCCTTGCTTGCCTCCAAAGCTGAAATTGTGATTTATCACATGGCCATCCTTAGCTCCTGGAATGCATCCCTCCACTTCTGTCAGTGGCCAGGCCTTGCTTGCGGCCGCAGACACAAGAGTTACGCTGCTCAACCTGCGATCAAGCCAATTGGAAGGTTCTGTCCTCCCACATTGGAAACTTGAGCTTTCTGAGGCTTTAACCCTCCAAAACAATAACTTCAGCCACACCATCTCTCCAGAAATTGGTCGTTTGTTCCAGCTGCAACAACTACGCCTTGTAAACAACTCCTTCAGTGGTCATTTTGGAGGTGTTTTACCCAACTCTGTAGCCAATCTTTCAACCCAACTCACTAAACTCTACCTCGGAGTCAATCAAATCTGGAAATATTCCTGCATCATTAGAAAACCTCAACAATTCAATAGTCTTAGGCATGCAGGCTAACCTGTTCACCGGCATCATTTCCACTTTTTTCGGGAAGTTCCAACAGCTGCAAATACTGTCTTTAGATGGAAATACAATATCAGGACAGATCCCTTCTTCCATAGGAAACCTCACTCAAATGTTTCAACTCTACTTATCAGAAAATAAATTAGAAGGAAGCATTCCCCTGAGCATCTGAAACTGCAAAAATTTGCAGTATATGGACATCTCAGACAATAGCCTCAGCGGAGATATACTACCACAGGTTATTGGTCTTTCCTCCTTATCTGTCCCGCTCAATTTATCACAAAATTCACTGACTGGGAGTCTGCCTGTGAGGGTGAGTAAGCTAAAGAATATCAATGCGCTCGACGTCTCTGGAAACAACCTTACTGGAGAAATTCCAAAAAGTATTGGAGACTGTCTGAGCCTTGAGTTTCTTTACCTGCAAGGAAATCTCTTTCAAGGAATCATACCTTCTTCTTTGGCTTATTTGAGTGGTCTTCAGCATTTAGATCTTTTGCTAGACAACTTATCAGGACAGATTCCAAAAGATCTACAGAGACTTCCTTTCTTGCTGTACATGAACCTGTCTTTCAATGATCTGGAGGGTGAGGTACCAAAAGAAGGCGCCTTTCAAAACACAAGCATAACATCATTGGTTGGAAATACGAAGCTTTGTGGTGGTGTCTCGGAATTTCAGCTACCAGCGTGCCCCATCAAAGGATCAGAACCTAGAAAGTTCTTCGGTCACAAACAAAAACTTATAATTGCTTTAGTGGTGGGATGTCCTATCCTGCTTTCGTTCTTGCTTGCACTTCACTGGAGGAGAAAACAGGAAAAGAAAAAACCACCATCTGCAGTCTCCTCAATCAACTTCCTTTCAAAGGTTTCATATGAAACGCTTCATCGAGCTACCAGCGGATTCATTCCAAACGCTTTAATTGGATCAGGAAGTTTTGGCTTTGTATATAAGGGGATTCTTGAAAATGAAGAAAATGTAGTTGCTATAAAGGTCCTCAACCTTCAACAAAAAGGAGCTTCCAAGAGTTTCATGGCAGAATGCAATGCACTAAGAAATATCTGGCACAGGAATCTCGTTAAGATCTAAACATGTTGCTCCAGGACGGATTACAATGGCAACGAATTCAAAGCTCTGGTTTCGAATACATGTCAAACGGAAGTTTAGAGCAGTGGCTGCACAGAGAAAACCAATCAAGGAGTTCGAGCCTTCACCAAAGATTGAAAATTGCAGTTGATGTGGCTTCTGCATTGTACTATCTCCATGACCATTGTGAACAACCAATCATTCACTGTGACTTGAAGCCGAGCAACATTCTTCTTGACAATGACATGATTGCTCGTGTAGGTGATTTGGGTTGGCAAGACTCATTTCAGCCACCGTGGACTCCTCTCTAAGTCAAAGTAGCACAGTTGGAATAACAAAGAACGACAGGCAAATTACGAAGCAGCAACTACAGCATCGGGGGTAGCTGCGACAATTGCAGCTTTGGGGGGAGCAGAAGTACTCAGTTTTGCAACCTTGGCGGGAGCTGGGGCTGGGGGTGAAGGCTTAAGGTGGGGAGGGGTATTGTGCTTCAATTTTAGAAGTATCTGCCTCATCCTTGAAAGCTCTGTTGGCTTTCCAGGCTTTGGTCCTTGGACAACGAGAATGGAAGGCTTCTTCTTTTCCTGATCCTTCTTCCCTCTCTTCTTCTCTATAGCCGGCACCTCATTGGGAATGAGGTCAGCAATTGCCTTCCAGTAGTTCTTGTCTACCTCAGCATGAAACTTCTCTTGATTAGTCAGGAACAGCTGAGAAACGCCAAAAATACAAGTTCAAAACAATATGTTAGGAATGCACATCAACTCCTTGCTTCTTCCTACCTTAGAAGTTAGATGCCCAAGAGATTATGGATATTAAAGGCGAAGAAAACCAAAATGGTATGGCAAAGTTCAATTCCAAAATGTTTAGCGAAAAAAAAAAAAAGACAAGTTTTCAGAAACCATTAACCCAACCAAACATCCTAGTTGAGATAGCTTTGTCTGGTAAGTGAAAAAGAGATGATTCCTACGGTATTAGTAATATTTGTTTTACAATGAAGCCTAACAAGGAAACGTTGTAGCTGAGATTTATGTAGCATATCCTAAACAGTTGTGACCATCACTTAATTGAATTCAGATACGTTCAGTCCGAGTAGAGGGAATAAAGGTTATGATCTTGCAGTAAATTTATGAAAAACCTAGCCGAGTGGATGTGTGAGCTACCTAGCCGAGTGGATGTGGTGAGCTATGTGTCAACAATTTGTGGCTCTTCTTCAACACCAATTTCGATCAATTATTCAACGTACCAGCAATTCAAGAACGAATGCATACCAACCAGAAACTTAAAAATGAGGCAGTGAAGTACGACATCCACATTACTACTCAGAAGGGCTTGTTTAAAACAAAAAAAAGCACTAATCATATTTTTCGGAAAGTTTATTTGATCTAACCTTCTCTCTTTCCCTGTTAGCAGCCTTGTTATTTTCAGTGGTGATCTTCCTCTTCTGGTAGAATCCAACCTTGAATTCATCTGCTTCCTCGATTATCTGAACCAACAACTCCTTTTCCCGCCTTTCCTTCTCCTCGAGCTGAATTGCATTCTGCCTGAATGTCACAAAAGTTCGGATTACGATAACTCCCTTACAACCTCACACAATTCAACCATTTTATTTTCCACCACCTTCTATGCAAACATAAAACCATTTTCTGATAATCAATAACTACACATTGACAACAATCACGAATCTCTTCCGCTTCAAATTGAGCTCCATATTCTTATACAAACAATCGGCATGTTAAATTCATAAAGAATTCAACAAGTCTATACATTTTTTTTTTCGATAAACATTCAAATTAACAAGTTGATATTAGAAATATAATCACTGCTCACCAGGCATGCAATTTTTGGCGCAACAGAAAGAACAAACCAAATAAAAACCAAGAACTTTCATCTGAATTGCACAAAAGAGTCAAAATTTAATTGCTATACAGAACTATTGGTTCAATCGCAAACAATCGAAATTCGAAACCCTACCTTCTCCATTCTCTGAGAGCGAAGCCCTCCTCAGGCAGCATCTCCGACGGAGGCGGCAAAATTGGATCGTCGGACCCGCCAATGCCTCCACCAAAGCCCTGTCCATTCGATTCGGCATAGATCGACGGAGGAGAAAAGGCCTCCGACGCAAACTGAGTGGCGAAAGCATCGCCTGCGGTGGAGCCGTGGAAGATTGGGGAATCGGTGGCGGAGTCCTTGAGCGACTCGGTGTCGACGAAGGAGTCGAATCGCTGGGAGGGGAGTCGGGGGTCATAACCCAGGTAACCGTCGTCGTCGAACGGGCGAGTTGACACAGTGGTTGGGACGGGGTCGTCTCTCTCACTGTCTCTCTCTCTGGCTCTAAACTGCCGACCGAAATGCTAGCAGAGGCAAAAACTACGCAGGAGAAATATCCGCGGATTCGGAAAAAAAAATATATATATCCGCGGGCTTTGAGTTGGGCTTAGACCGGCCCATTGGGCTTTCATTGGTTCAGCCCAACACAATGTTGCCCAAGAAATAACCGAAGCTCTCTCTTTCGAACATACGTAATTAGTTTACCGTTGTCTTTTCTTTGACCTCCAGGCCGGTTGAGAGCAAGTTATGCAGGATTCCGCATGACTCGTCTTTGCGCCATTTGGCCTGAAAATCCAGAGAGAACAAGACAGCCGGCTTACACGGCAGTTCTTGTCACTTGACCTCGATCACTTTGTGGTCACATTTATTTGGGTTGATCTTTATTTTCCTTGTTTTTTATATCTAAATTTCTAATTAATTGAGATCAAGTGATGACAATTTCCTTCAAGTCTTTGCGCCATTTGGCCTTAAAATCCAAACATATAGAACAAAACAGCCGGCTCACACAGACTGTTCTTATCACTGAGACCCCGACACTAACCGAATAATATAAAAAACAAGGGGGAACAGAACCAAGTACAACCCAAATAAATAGGAAGAACTTAGGCTAGATTTTTTGCAAGTTCTTTTTCTTGTAAAAACTCAGCCTCATTGGTTCACAACCCGAGCTTTATTTCACAGAGCGCATACATGGGGTTCTGGGGTATCATTATTAGCATCCGGTCTATTATCATGCAACTATTTCTCTTGATGGTCATTTCATCCTCCTTACGTCTTGGAGGGAATGAGACGGATAGACAGTCCTTGCTTGCATTTAAAGCTGAAATTGTGAACGATCCACTGGGCATTCTTAACTCCTGGAATGAATCCCTCCACTTCTGTCATTGGCAAGGCGTTGCTTGTGGCCACAGACACCAGAGACAGAGAGTCACCGTGCTGGACCTCCAATCAAGCCGGCTGAATGGTCAGCTACCCCCCCACATTGGAAACTTGAGCTTTCTTAGAAATTTAAACCTCCAAGACAACAGCTTCAACAACACCATCCCTCAAGAAATTGGTCGTTTGTTCAATCTGCAACAACTACTCCTTGATAACAACTCCTTCAGTGGTGATATTCCGTTCAACATATCACGTTGCTCTAACCTCCAAATACTTCGCATATCTGGAAACCATCTTAGGGGCAAACTTCCAATTGAAATTGGCTCCTTGTCCAACCTTCAGGTACTTACTTTAAGAAAAAACAATTTAAGTGGGGAAATCCCACCTTCTTTTGGAAATCTTTCTTCTCTCGACGAGTTAGATTTGGGAAGCAATAATCTGCGTGGAGGCATTCCGAATAGCCTTGGCCAATTGAAAAGTCTAACATATCTTGCATTGGGTCTAAATTATTATTTGAATGGTACCATTCCTCCCTCCATATACAACCTCTCATCAATTACAAGCATTTCTGTGGTTCGAAACGAACTGCATGGAACTCTTCCTCCTGGGTTGGGCCACACTATATTTCCAAACCTCCAACTATTTTATTTCTGGGGCAACCAATTCAGTGGACCGATACCAAATTCAATCTCCAATGCCTCAAGCCTTTCAAATTTTTTAATCCCATTTAATGAGTTTACTGGAAAAGTGCCTAGTCTGGCACGCCTGTCAAATTTGTATTGGTTAACACTTGCCCATAACAATCTTGGAAATGATGAGGAAAGTGACTTGGATTTCATTTCTTCTCTTGGTAATTGCACCAAATTGAGAAAGTTAGATTTTCTGGACAATAATTTTGGAGGAATGCTACCTGAATCCATCAGCAATCTCTCAACAGAGCTCAACCTACTGGTATTTGGTCGTAACCAGATACGTGGAAGAATTCCCATTGGGATCGGAAATCTAATCAACATGGAGGCTCTAGCCTCTGAGGGAAACCTATTGACAGGCACAATACCAAGTTCTATTGGGAAACTGAAAAGGTTGAATGAGCTGTATCTGAACGCGAATAAACTATCAGGTACCATCCCATCTTCTATTGGAAATCTAACTTCAATGACCAAGTTGATTCTCAGGTCAAACAAGTTAGAAGGCAACATACCGCAAAGTCTCGGAGAATGCAAGAATCTTCTACTTTTAGATCTTTCCCAAAATAATCTTCACGGTCAAATTCCTAAAGAAGTTATTGGTTTAACATCCTTGTCACAAGTTTTGGATCTATCCAGCAACAAGCTTACTGGATCCATACCAATGGAGGTAAGCAACTTGATGCATCTAGTTTACTTGGATGTTTCTGACAATAGGTTATCTGGTGAGATTCCACGAAGCTTAGGGAGTTGTACAAGTTTGGCATATCTGTATCTGAGTGGAAACTCATTGCAGGGGACCATTCCTGTATCCTTGAGCTCTTTGAGAGGGATTGAGGTTTTCGACCTCTCTCGCAACAACTTGTCTGGCAGTATTCCCAGCTATTTGGAGAGTTTCCGCTTTTTGGTGAATTTGAACCTCTCGTTTAATGATTTTGAAGGTGCATTACCAATGAAAGGAGTTTTCAAGAACCCAATTGCGCTTTCTGTCATGGGAAACTCACGGATTTGTGGAGTTATACCTTCTTTAAGATTGCCCAAATGCGTCTCCAAGCAATCTAAGCAAGGCTTATCGTCTAGGCTGGAAATAATTCTTTCAGTTGCTTGTGGGGTTATTGGGTTGATCTTACTGTTGTCCGTTGTGCTTCTTTGCCGATCAAGAAAAGTGAGAGCACTTAACTCAACTTCAGGATCGTATCAAATGGTTTCACTCTTGAAATTATCTTATAGAGATCTCCATAAAGCAACATGGGTTCTCGGCTGTGAATTTGATTGGTGGTGGAAGTTATGGGTCTGTATACAAGGCAACTCTCAATCAGCGTGAACAAAGAATTGTTGCAGTGAAAGTACTCAGTCAAAATTCAAGAGCTTCTAAAAGTTTCATAGCTGAATGTGAAGCCTTGAAAAGCATTAGGCACAGAAATCTTGTCAAGCTACTGACTGCTTGTTCAAGCATTGATTCTCAAGGAAACAATTTCAAGGCTCTGGTTTACGAGTTCATGGTGAACGGAAGCCTCGACGACTGGCTGCATAATTCAGCTCAACGGGTCGACAATCCAACCAACCTGCAGAAAAATCTGAATCTTATTCAGATAATCAACATTGCAATTGATGTAGCATGTGCTCTGGATTATTTGCACAACCGTTCTCACATGCCGATAGTTCATTGTGATTTAAAACCGAGCAATGTTCTCTTGGGTGGTGACATGACTGCATGTGTTGGTGATTTTGGTTTGGCAAGGTTCCTCCCGGACGTTTCTCGTCCATTTCCTGTGCACGAAAGCTCTTCCGATGCAATAAAAGGCTCCATAGGCTATACTGCCCCAGGTAAAATTTCCTGATATCTTTTGTTTTAGCTTTAATTTTGTGATTCACAGTCAAGACATAACTATGTTTTTGTGCATTAAATTATAGAGTATGGCATGGGAAGCGAGGTGTCAACATCTGGTGATGTGTATAGCTATGGAATCTTGTTACTAGAGATGCTAACAGGCAAGAGGCCAACGGATGACATGTTCAAAGACGGTTTGAATCTGCACAGCTTTGTTGTGAATGCAGTTCCTGAACACGTGGAAGAAATATGTGATCCGGTACTTCTTCAAAATGAAGAAAAAAATGGTGGGGATCGCAGGCAAAAAGTTGAGGAGTGCTTGATTTCACTTGCAAGAATAGGAGTTGCTTGTTCTGCGGCAATGCCGAGAGAGCGCAAGGACATGACCAATGTTGTATCTGAGTTGTGTCTTATAAGGGATGTGCTGATGGGAACCAGGATGCCTTAGAGACTGTTAGAATTTAGAAATTGGATCATTTCACTTCCATTTGAATCTTAGAATGACTAGTTTTTCATTTTTCATGCAATTTGTGTTTATTTTCAGTAACACCATTTTAAAATCAAGAAGTTGGTCGTGTTTTTGTTTAGCTGCAATCGAACTATGCCCTGATCCTCTTTTTCTTGATTTATAAGCATAGACTGTCACGCACTTTGGAACTGTTAGGAACCACATACACTAGTTCAACGATAAATTCGGCAGACCCTTACCGAACTATTCGTTGGACCCAAAAATGATTCGTTCTTTTCGCTCCCTAACATCAGTAAGAGTTTTTCGATTTAGAGTATGAATTTTGGGTTTCTTTGTGCATGCTGCACTTTCTGATTCTTTTTGTTGTGGTGTGCTTTGTCCTTCATTTTCTTCATGAATCTGTGATTCACGGATTGTTGGCTAATTTCGAGTTTGTTTGGAGGACCGAGTCATGGATGCTTTCAAATTAATTAAACTCTTGAGTTATATTTTAAAAGCTTACTGTAGCATGAAAACAACATAATCTGATTTGAAACAAATAATTAACGGAATGAATATTGAAAGCAATTAAAATTACTCTTCAACATCAACTTGAAATGTATGCGTCAATTTGTTCTTCTTGCCTCTAACGCCACGACTCCGTTTCCCCTTTCCATTGATAATGGCCGCCTGCGAAAGTATGCCAACAAGGGACGGGGCTTTTATTTTCTTCTCAGAGGTTTGAAAGTGAGATTCATCTCGATCCTTTCTTTTTAATTCCCCACCAGTAGCACGTGCAGGGCACACCACATGACCAGGTGGCGAAACTTCAGGTGCTATGGGCTGAGAGGTGGAATTCATGAGAGGTGGGCCAGGCAAAGACTCACCATTCTCAAGCTCAATGATTCTTAGCAACCCACACGGCCCAGATTTACCAACTTATGTGGGCTATCTAGTAGTCCGTTCGCATTTTTGAAGGCTTCCCAAGGGGACCTTATGTGGATCATACCAGCTTTTTCCAATGAGAGGCCATTCACCGCAAGAGTGAGGGTCCCATTGCGATAGTGAGTTCCGTAGCTTTCCGGATGGTCCATATTATCCCAGTCAACAAGATAAGCTTTCCTTGGTGAACCATTGGACACGTCCGCATTGGCAGTGCTGTTGTACAGCTCATTGCTCGCAGGAATTGTCGCATAATCACCCATATAGCGACAGAGGAGGAGGTGCTACATACGACTGAGCTAATACAGTGAGTTCATATAATTTCGGGCCCTTTCGTCCTTCACGTACGCATACCGCCGACAGAGTGCTGTTGTACAGTGCATATAATTTCGAGTATGTCGGATGCTTTCGTCCTTCACACACGTATGCCATACGCGAAATTATATGAACTTGGTCATGGCTAATATAGTGCAGAAGATTTAAAACCTAAAAGGAAGGTACTCAATCAGTGCTAAATGGGTTTGCTTCTTTTATTCCACGTGTGCAACATCTCATCATCTCATGCCAGCACAAGTTGATAAAGTAGATATAGAAGCCCATAAAATAACTAAAATTTTGGAGAGAGAGAAACATAGACTGAGATTTAGATCTCGGGAAATTTTTTTGTTTTCATGGGGTTTTACAACTTGGCTGCCATGGTTATCAATTTCAAAGAGGAGTGAAACAACTGGAATTTGGGAAGCATGGCTTCTGGTTTTCATCAAGTAGAGGGAAGACGGAGAGAGGGAGAAAAAATATCAAGTTTAATTGTGATTTTTTAAATTTTTTATTGTATTAGTGGCGGGATCCATATGCAAATTTGGAATTTAATAGAAAATACGGGTGGAGACTCGGTTTTTGAGCGAGCCCCCGTGGAATGGAGTAGAAAATACTCATTCCATTCCATTTAGAGTAGGTCTTTTGTTGCAGCTTGCTTACTTGGATCTTTCTAATAACAGTTTATCTGGTGAGATTCCAAGCTCAATAGGAAACTGCATGAGTTTGGAAAGTTTGCATTTGGAAAGAAATTTTTTGCGAGGGACCATTCCTGACTCGCAACTTCTTAACTGGAAGAATTTCATCTAAAAAATTGTAATATTCTTCATTATATTTGTTTACAAGAAGGAAGTCCTCTCTTATATATGGTCAAAACTAAACCTGTAAACGGGTCGGATTTATTGGGTTTGGGTCGGGTTGAATCCGACCCGTTAAGTTAATGGGTCACCCGAACCCAACCCGTTAAGCTAACGGGTCACCCGAACCCGACCTGTTAAGCTAACGGGTCACCCGTTTCACCCGTTAACAATTATTTTTATTTTTTATTTTTGCATAAAGTTTATTTTTTGTCATTAAGATTTTACTAAAATTACTAAAATATCCTCAACTAACGGATGCTAACGGGTGTTAACGGGTCCTAACGGGTCTAACGGGTTGACCCAAAGTGACCCGTTATTTAACGGGTTCACCCGTTAACGACCCGACCCGTTAAGCATCCACCCAAATACAAATATTAACGGGTTGGGTCGGGTCGGGTTAACGGGTTGGGTCCAAAATGCCAGGCCTAGTCAAAACTACACAATTGGTCCTAACAAGCGGACAAGCCAAATGATGATTACATGAGAAAAACACCGAAAAGGAAAATAAAGAGAAAATGAAAGTAAAGCAAAATAATGATGGCTAGCTATAAAGTAAGTAATGATGACTAGCTAGAGGAATAATTACAAGTCTATTGTATATACCAATAATGTCTAGCAGCTATTGTTGACACTCCCCCTCAAGTTGGTGCATATATGTCATGAATGCCCAACTTGCTTAGTGAGTTGTGAAATACTAAACTTGTGACTGCTTTGGTGAGCATGTCTGCTAATTGATCTTCAGATTTAACGAATGAAACTTCAATAAGTCTTGCCTTTTTTTATTTAATAAAATGTCTATCCACCTCCACATGTTTGGTTCAATCATGTTGAACCGGATTGTGAGCAATGTCAATTGCAGCCTTGTTGTCACAATGTAGACGCATAGCATGCTTAGGCCTAAATCCCAAATCTCTCAGTAAATTCTTCACCCAAAGCAGTTCACATACCCATGTGCCATGCTCTGATATTCTGCTTCAGCACTTGATCTAGCAACAACCTTTTGTTTCTTATTACGCCAAGAGACTAGATTTCCTTCAACAATAACAAAGTATCTTGATGTTGATCGTATGTTAGTTACATCACTAGCCCAATCAGTATCAGTGTAGTCTTTAACGTCTAGATGATAATGTTTTGAAAACATTAATGATTTCCCAGGAGCTGACTTTAAATACCTCAAGATATGGTTTACAACATCCATGTGTGTTTCACTTGGTGCATGCATAAACTGGCTTACCATGCTGACTGCATATGCTATATCTGGTCTAGTATGTGCAAGATATATTAGCTTACCAACAAGTCGTTGATATCTCTCTTTGTTGGTAGGTATCTGATCAGGATATTCACCAAGTTTGTGATTCAGCTCAATTGGGGTATCTGCTGGTTTGCATGCTAGCATCCCAGTTTCCGTCAAAATATCATGAACATATTTCCGTTGTGATAGAAATATTCCTTGTTGTGAGCGGGCCACCTCAATGCCCAAGAAATACTTTAAGGCACTGAGATCTTTCATCTCAAATTCACTTGCTAGATACTTCTGCAGTGCTGCCTTCTCTTCTGGATCATTTTCTGTAACCACCATGTCATCCACATATACAATAAGAGCGGTGATTTTACCTTTCTTATGCTTTAAGAAAAGAGTATGATCTGAGTTGCTTTGCTTGTATCAAAAAAATTTCATCGATTTGGTAAATCTCCCAAACTAAGCTCTCGGTGATTGCTTTAAACCATACAATTACTTTTTTAGTTTACAAACATTGTTGGTCTGATTGGGATCCAGCTTGCATCCTGGGGGAAGCTCTATATAAACTTCTTCTTCTAAATCTCCATGCAAGAAAGCATTTTTGACATCGAATTGTTGCAAAGGCCAGTCAAGGTTTGCTGCTAGGGATAAGAGTACATGAATAGTGCTTATCTTAGCTACAGGGGCAAAAGTCTCTCCGTAGTCAATGCCATATATCTGCGTGTAGCATTTTGCCAATAATCTTGCTTTGTATCGCTCAATAGTGCCATCTGCATTGAATTTTACTGTGTATATCTAGCAACCAACTGATTTCTTCCCTTTGGGTAGGTTAGTTAACTCCCAAGTGGAATTTTTCTAGAGTGCCTCCATTTCTTCATTCATTGCACGAGTCCACCTAGGATCTTTCATAGCATCCTCTACACTACAAGGAATAGATACAGTGGATAATTGATTTACAAATGCCTCACATGATGTAGATAGCCTATGGAGGGACACATGGTTAGCAATTGGGTATTTAACATTGGCTCTAGGATTAGGATCATATAACTATTTAGGAATCCCTCGTGATTTTCAAGGGGGAAGTTGATAATTAGTGGACTCAATTTGACTTGACTCAGGTACGATCTCAATAGAATTAGATTGATCAGTTACCTGTTGATTGTGTTTAGGGGCTGATTGATCATGTGGTACTGTCGAAGAAGGCAATCCCAAGCCATTTGGACTTAACGTTGCTGGATGTACTTCTGTGTCTGATGTTGGAGTCGATGATTCTGTTTCCGCGTATTGTTTGATTACAGTCATCTACCGACTTATCAACATTTATCTCAGTTTCCGAAATATTTGCAACAATTTTAATGTTGCTAATGTCTTGGGTATCCCCTTCAAACATACTATTCTCCTCCTGAAGGGGATACTCAATGTCTCCCTTTGAAAAATATGTTTCTCCTTCTTGAAACTGGACATCTGCAGTGATGTATAGAGTTTGGGTAGGAGGATGAAAACATTTGTATCCTTTTTTTGTATCAGAATAACCCAAGAATACTCATCGGAGGGCACATGGATCAAACTTCCCCCGTTGATGTGGATAAACCTATACATAAGCCACACACCTAAAGACACATGGTTCTAAGTTTGGGATAGATGGAATGGTGAGAAGGTGGTTAAGTGTTTGGAATGGTGTTTGATATTGGAGAGTACTGGATGGTGTTCGATTTATGAGATATGTTGCAGAACATAGTGCCTCCCCCCAAAACTTATGATGCATGTTGGCACCATATAAAG